AGTAGTGTCAATTTCTGTGTCCACTCTCCTGCTGTTCTTTGACTTCAAGGACTCTAGCAAGACATCCACTAGTTTCTGCAGATGTTCTGCAATGGTGACTGAATCTGTTTGTTTTCTATTTTCACTTTAAAAACTTTGCAAACATTCAGAATTTGTATGTACTTATGCATTCATGAGAAAGCAGCTGTTGGAAGAGAAATGAAATCGCTTTTCAATGAAGTTTGGCTGTAGCATTCACTCCAAGTAAACTGAACACCATGTTGTGCCTTAAAGGTGTCCCCAGGATGCAATTGCGTTTTGCATCTCCAAATCTGAGCAGTCCTGAGACAAAGTTTTGCTTCAAACTCAGTGCTCAGACCAGGATTCAGCATGATTCAGAGACACTAATAGAGCTTTTGTTGTTGTTGTTGTTGTTGTTATTGCGTTTTTTCCTCTCTTTGAAATCGGTTTTCATAAAATTCTGGTAGACTTTGCTATTTTCATTTTCAAAAGAGAAACTGGTATTCTTCCAGTTCTCTAGGAATCATAAATGTATTTTTGCACCCATATGAAGCAAAACTATGCTAAGCTTGCACCTGTATCTTACACTATGAATTCAAAGAGTTATTGAGGGAGTAGTGTTATTCAAACGTACAAATTAGGGTAGTAATGCCGTATCTTACACTATGAACTCAAAGAGTTATTGAGAGAGTAGTGTTATTCAAACGTACAAATTAGGGTAGTAATGCCCTGTTCTTTTGTCTCTTCCTTTTATTCCTGAGCCTTGTAAAAATATAAATAATATAAGAAGGTCTTCAAGAAGCTTTACTTTATATACGAGAAGTAAAAATTAGGAACTGTGATGAGGCAACCTGAAGATTGCCACTGAGAATAACAAGGCATAAACAGTCAATTACTTGCAAGGCATTGGGATCTTGGGAAGAAGGTACCATAACGGTATCATATAATGACTCTGTTATAACAGCATAGATTCTTTGCAGAGCAACATTAATGAGCCCCTCTAAAACACTGAGGAAGGTTTTAACTTTCTAAAATCACTTGATACCTTGGTCTAAATTAGGCATACATTAGTGTGGACGTATTGAGGAGCAGGGTCTCTGTGATGGTGAGCCAAAGACTCAAAAGATTTAGGGTTAAACACGACCTATAGACCTTCCAACCTGGAGCAGCCCCAGCCCTGCCCGGCAGCACGCAGAGCCCAGCAACCCAACCAGCCAAACAGGCAGGGGATCACGCGCCGACCACTGGCAAGGCCGCCCAATGAGCTGCCTGGTCACGCGCTGCCCGCATGGCTGCAGCTCCTAGCTCCCCTGCTCAGCTCCCCCATCTGCTGAGTCACTTGAGGCAGAGTAGAGGAAGAAAACCTACAGTAAGACAATAGATGTGCTGCCAGGTAGCATTAACAATATTTATAATCATAACTCATTTTCTGTTCTATTTAGAATATTTTAAAATTAACTGTATAACAATATGATAAGGTAAAGCAAAATAATAGCAAATGCAAGTAAGTGAAATATAAGAAAGAAGAAACTAAAGGAGTTTAGCATTTTGTATTGCTTTGTTTTTAGAAATTACTAAAACAGGTTTAGGATTTAATGCAATTTTTTTTAGCAAATGATTCTTTCTGGTGCAATTTGTCCTGCTTGTTCTAGCAATGGTAAATTATCTATATAAAAGCATGAATGTTCAAAATTTATTGATATTATTTAATGTTCTAAGCTCAGATAGTGTTATCAGTGGACCCCTCTCTACCTATTCATCCACCTCTGCTCTCTTCAAAATTGTAAATGTGCTTCTGCCTATCATCAGGACATATTAAAATGTAGCATATTTCTTAAAAGCTCTTCAATTCCTCTATTTTCTGCAGGTGCATGAAAAATACTTTTGTTGGCTCAGGCATTGATAAAGTAATAGCAATTTCTGCAAGCATAACTACTCAACTTCGTTATTTATTTGGAGAAATTTTATAGAGTGGGGTATGTGCGGAAAATAAAGAAAATTTATTCAGAAATAAAGCTGCAAGGTGAAAAGTTAAAATTGCTGGTTGTCACATCTACCGCAGTGCTTTTAACCATAACTGCTCTGCTCCTTGTGTAAAAGTGTGGCTATATCTATATGAGCATTCTCTGAGAGTCTTCAGAACCATGAAGCCTTGGGGTTCCAAGGTTAGCAACTGGTCTTAATTACTACTAATGTACAGATTTGTAAGAATCTAAGGTCACATACTAGTTGCTAGGTTTTATCTGAGGTGCATGTAAAAATCCAGTTTCCTCCCATATGTAATGTCACTGGCTTCAGCACCGAGCGTGGAAGGGCAAGGCCATTTATGGATGCTTTGTAGATGGGTATCTGTTCAGCTGCAAAAAGGGTCATAGACTATTGCAGCAAAATGAGTCTTCATGCAGGCTTCAAGGGGGAAAAGGGAGCTGCTTTTTTCATTTAGCCTCCTCTGTAAACCCACAATCATTTCTTGACAGGGTGACAGAGCACTGGAACAGGCTGCCCAGAGAGGTTGTGTAGTCTCCTTCTCTGGAGATCTTCAAAACCTGCTTGGATGCAGTCCTGTGCCACGTGCTCTAGGTGAGGCTGCCTGTGCAGGGGGGTTGGACTAGATGATCACTAGAGATCCCTTCCAACCTTAAGCATTCTATGATTCTATGATTCCATGTCTTGCAGGAAGGAAGGAATACTGTTGTTAATTACTAGTGTGTGTTTGTGTGTGTATATATGTTATATAGGATAAGGAACAAAGATAAACCTTTTTGAACTCTTTTTTTTTTCCCTAGCATTGTCAGCCTGTGTTTTTCTGCATTTCATAGAATCATAGAATGCATTTGAAATGCAACCTGTCAGTGTGTTGCTCTTCCTGAGCCCCTCCTCAGTGTTATGTTCACAGAAGCGTGTATCCTCTGGCAGGTGTTTGACAGTGGTAGGTGCCATCTCCCAACTGGTAACTTGATTGGGTTGACCCAGGCTGCTGACAGCCTTCCACAGAGCACGTCTAGAGTTTGCAGACAGACACTTCTGTTTTTTTGTTATCTAATGTCCTTCATGCTGGGGGTCTACGCTCTGGAAACATCTACCATCTACATTCCAGGAGATCCAGCTTCAGCCCTGACTTCAAAGCCTTGTGCAACCCCACAGAGGAATAAGCACCATGATGTATGTGCCAAATATGTAGGTTTTGTCCATATCAAGACACTTGCTCATTCAGTAAATTCAGATGAATTTAAACAGAAGGTATCATAAGTTCAAGTTTAAAAAGTTAAAATTACATTTCAAGGGTTAGAAGAATGCTAAGAGTAAAGCAAGTTACGAGAAAGTGAAAGAAAACAAATCAGCATAATTCTGACACTGTGTAAGTTCATGGTTCATCCACACCTTAAGCTTATCTGTATGCAGTTCTGCCTTTTCTCTCAAAAGGGTGAAGGAGACCTGGAAAAGTTTCATGGAAGAGTAGCAATAATGATCAAAGATGTGGAAGGATTTTTACACGAAAAATAATCCAGGGCTCTTAAGTCTAGAAAAGAGTTCCCCAAGGACAAACATTAATATGGTAGAAGGCTACCGAGTCATGAGTAAGATGAGAAAGAGTACATGTGAGATTTACCAGAACATGAGAGCATCAAACGAAGCTGTTGGGAACCATTTTCAAAACAAGCAAAAAGTAGTTCTTCCAACAGCAGATAGATTACTTGTGAAACTCCTTCCTTAAAGATAGGATAGATACTAGAAGTTTACATCTGTGAGTGAGGTTCATGAAAATAAATGGGCTGTGCATTCCTAAATGCATGAAGCCCACATTAAGATCAGTAAGGTGCTCAGCTAAAAAACATTGAAGGCAAAGAGTGATAACAAATTTAATATATAATTGCCCTATTCTTACTCTTCCATAAGCAGTAACTTACTATCATTTTTGTGTTATTGAGACACCTGAACAATTGATTGCCAACAGTCCCAGGAGCAAAAATTGTATTTACAGATTTCTTAATGTCGATTCCATAAAAGCGGGGTAAGTAGAGGCCCCCCTACTTTGCTGGGGTGGACAGATCTTTGGTCTAATCAAATGTGGCTATTCTTAAGTTATTCTGTTTCTATATATCTAAAATGGAAATCAAAATCAAAGTGTTTAACTTTGTCTTCTTACTCTTTTTGTTTTATTGTCTTGAACTGCAGTGTTGTCTTGGAGAGGTGTTATTTCAACCATAAGGGTGAAACAGGTCCTAGTGCATTTTTTGCAATGAATTCTGTGATAGTTCCCCATGATTTATTCAATGTTGAAGTGTGAGAGATACGACTGTGCCTTTTAGGTACTTTGTCCAAAGTATTTTCTATGAGTAAAAATTTTATAGAATCTTTTTCTGACTTTGCAATAGCAGATGCCATATTGATCTTTCTCTTATAAATGCTGCTGTTGTGAATTTTGATGCCTCCTTGCTTGTAATAAGACACACAGATTTGCTGTAGAGAATGTTTCTGTATATGTTTTGTAAATGAGCATTTTTTTTCTCTTTTTACTTAGGTCTAGATTAGAAGAATAGAATTTACTAGAAAAAAAAAGAATTTTTGAACATTTCAACTTTGAAAACAAATCTTCTCTAATAGTTAATTTTACCTCTCCTTTACCTGAAATCTTTCATGTGGAACTGCTAAGGTAATCTATCTCTCTGCCTGCTACAGCAGCTAGGTGAGCTAATTTTAACACACTATGGCCTCTTGTAGGAGGAATTCAAGTCCTTATTTACTGGATGCTTGTATTTCTTCATAAATTTCCCAGACTTCCACCTTCTCCCAGCTCTATAGTTGGTATTTTCCTAGTCAGAAGTGAAGAGTTCTCTGGAAGGAATGACAGATGACTGCAGTTATACAATTTTATATCTAAACCTTCAAAGATTATTTAAGCGGTATTCTCCTGTTGAAGTTGACAGGACTTTGATAGCTGGTGGATCTTAGCCCTTCCACATCAGATCTTCTGCAAAAACCGAAGCTTTATAACTCACCCTCAACTTCCTCACAAGGGTCAATTCTCAGTGTCATGTTTCCCTGCTGTATCATAAACATCCACAAACTCTAGACAGAACTGTTTGCCAGGTGCCACCATTCACACATAGTCTAGACTACTGTAAATGTTGAGTGTTAATTTGAAAACCAAAATATTCTTTCTTGCTTTCTGTCAGATACGCATGTAAACTTTCTCCAGCTCTGGCTTCCCCTCTCACAGAGCATAATAGAATTCTAAATTCATGTAGCATGCAAAACTTCTCACCCAACTCAACTGTAATTGCCATTACTGGATAGCCTAATGCTCAGCGTATGCTGAACTATATATATATATATTTTAGTGTATTCTGATCACTGCTTGGAATCTTTAACTTCGTTTACAGCCTGTTGAATTAAAATAAGGCCCCAGACTCTAATCTGGATTTACTCAGAGATTTTACATGGATGGCATATCTAGTCTGTGTAAATCAGAATTGTGCATTTATCTAAGTTGTTTTATTTGATCTAAATAGAAAGCCCACCCAGAAAATATTTTTTGTTACTGTTGTCTTTTCCTACGACCTAACAACATTGCAGAAGAGCTAGCAACAGCTGTAGCAGCTGAAGACTGTGCCTCTGACTGATTCGCGTAAGGAATGTTCAGAGCTCGTATTTATTTGCTTCCCATTTCCTTTTTCTCATTTTTGCCCCCACAAATAGAACCTTCTGTTCAGCTGTCTGTTTATTTCATTCCCGATATTGAATGCATGATGCATCCAAGGTACCCCAAATTTGAGGTTTTCCACTCAAAGAATCTTTGGCACTACGGAATGATAAAAGTATTAAATAGCATTCAAGAGATCCAGTTCAGTGCAGAAATGACATTGCCTCTCTCTCACTTTATTCCATATGGTTGCCTTGGGGACCAGCATTGGGCAACATGTGTGACCACGTTACGAAAGCAGTGCACTGATGTGCTAGTCTTGCTAGGGCACGTGTCCTGGCGGGCATTTCCTTGCTGTATCAGAGAATGTGCTTTCAGGGTTGCCTCCTGCACAACAGACGTTCAGTTTTGAGAAGGTTTAAGCTGTGAGGCTGCCCTTACTTGGACTAGTTGGTTACTATTTCTGTGCCTCTGTTCTAGTTAGCTGTGAAAATAAAGTCACTGAAGCTTATGAAGTGCTCATATACGGTACTTCCAACAGTCTGGACTTCAAAAAAAAATACCTTATTCTTTCTTTTGTGAAAACTTCTGCCCTGCAAGATGGCTGGGTATCAGAACAGTACCTGTGCAGACAGAATGGAAGCACAGGCTTTGATGTGCTTACAGATTGGAATGGACTCATTTGTGTTCTTTGGTAGTCATAAGGACTTTGCAGAGAGATTTCACTGAATTAAAAAATAATCATATATATGGAGGATAGAGCAGGATGATTCACTGATTTCATCAGACCATGTCTGCCTATGTCCTTCTCTGCAAATGCATTGAAACAGGAGATCTGTACTAAGGAGACTAGTACGAAACACAGCCAGAGCATACAGTTTCTTACTAACTTTGTCCCTTCTCCTATCTGGTGCAGTGAGGGCCAGTTCAAAAGCAGGTACTGTAGACAGTTTAACAAATGCCTATGCCTAAGTACAGAACTTAGTACCATACAGTCACGGTTAAAACCTAGTTGTTTAAGCAGCAACTAAAGCCAGTGTGTGTGCCTTGCTGGTAGAATACAGAGTGAAACGCTTGTGTGGTTTAATTTTTTTTTTTAATGTTCTGTAATTTTCTACTTTCCCAGAAAAATCAGTGTAGCTGATGCCAAGGTAAATGCATGGATATGAGATATTGGTGTTAGAAGCTGCTGCACTAAATTTAGGTAGCACACAGATTTGCTATAGCATTACTGGCAAGTCACTAAGTAAGCAAAAATTTTCAGCAAGGATGCTCTTCTTAAATGTATCAGTACATGTATATGAGACAAAGCTGTGCTACTTCAGTGGAGAAAGTCTCTCTTACATGGAATCTGTAGGCAGCAGACCCCATCTTGGTGGGACATAGACATCTAATGGGCATTTGGCAGTCTTAATCAAACTTTCCAGAGTGGTGAATGAAACTGAGCTTAGAAAATGGAATAAGCTTTTTTTTTTTTTTTCTTCCCATCTTGCCTTTTTCCCTCCTGTGTGAATCTGCACAACAAGAGAGACTGCAGTCACAAGTTTTGAAATGGATCCAGCTATCAAAGTTCAATGGTGTAGTGGCAACTGGCTACTTTAATTCAGTGTGAAGTTAGAGTAATTTAGCAAGAAGGGAATGTATTGCAAAGAGCTATTCAATCCCACACATACATTAGACAGCAAATGGCATGTATGTTGTTATTATATTGTTTCAAATTTCTGTCAGTTGTGCTGTGAGAACATTTTTTTCATATAGAGTATTTAATTCTGGAAACAATAGTCAGGGCTTAGTACTGGAAGGAAGTAGTAGTGGACAAAACCACCTACAGACCAGCAAATTTAGAACATCTATAAATCCATCATAATTTCTATTGTTCACTATGTTTCAATTACATACCACAGACAACCCTGACCGGAGCTTAACGATGGATATTGAAATTGGTCTCTGGGAAGGTGGGTTTTAAAAGCTTTATTTGCACTTCTGCTCCTGTCAATAGCTGCAAGGAGCTATGTGGCTAGTTCTGTTCAGGGCTGACAACACCTATGAGACTCTTTTTTATATTTCAGTATGGCATATCAGACATACCATGCCTACTCCTATTTTCTGGTGCCTACCAGACACCACTTGTGAACCTGCAGAGAGTGTTGTGCACATCAGCAGATGACCATTATTTCCCTGCTTTTCAGAAATCTTATTTTTCTTGTTGATTTGGTCCCACACTTTCGAGAGTAGAGAAACCGGTAAGCGGCAGCACGTTCTGGTGTAGAATGACTGTAATAGCTGCTTAGCTCTCCAGGAAGCAATATTTAGCAGTGCGACTCCAGCCCTTGGAGACATTCATCTGAGAGTCACTATACCAGTGACAGGTATCATTATAAGAGATTTTTATGTCAGTCCATGGGTATAGTTGCATGCCTGTCCTTTTTCTTATTTCAGTAAATCAATTAATTAAATCAGTTTTAATAACTAAAAACCTAACTCCAGTTTGAAAATCGATATGCAGAAAGTCAGGGAAAACATGTTACAAATGTGCAAGCAAGAAGCAGCTGCTGTTACATAAGCACATTTCTGTGGGAGAAGGCCTGCGTGAGTCATGGCTGAATAAGAAATGAAAAAAAATATGGCCTGTCATAATGACAGTGACAGTCTCCTTGTTCGTTGTTGCCCCACAGGAACGGGGAGACAAAGGAGTCGGAGCTGTATGAGTTGCAGTGTCTGCAGTGGAGAATGAGAACGTGTGGCAGCGTGTGTGTGCAGGTGGCTTCACAACAGGGACAGAGACTGGCCATACAGACTACAGCCCAAGGGAGCGTGGCCCTGCCCGGTGAGAGAGAGTTTGTGTCATCAACCTTTCTCTCAAACTAATACCAATCCCAAGGTCAAAGTGACAGTTTGGTGGGATATCTTTTTGTGGTGAGTGATACCTGAAGTGCTGTGCCAACTTCCTCTTCCTTTTGATTTAGGAAAAAATATTTTTTTTTACCCAGGCTGCTGGATAAGGAGCTCCAATCCCCTCACATCATAAACCAGCTGTCTAAAGAGGGATCTCTTGCCCAGGGTCAGGCTTGCTTAGTGCTGATGTTGGAGAACCACAGGCTCAAAAATTTTGTTTTGACCTAATCTTTCACCTTTCTGGCTCCTGAAGTAGCTACCATCTTGATTGATTGTGTATTTTATGCACATTTGTTGTGCAGCTGAAAAGCAAGCACCTGATTTGACTTTCAGACTTTCTCTGGAGTTTGACTGAGAACTTGGACAGTTCTTTCAGAAGCACAATGGCCAGGATGATTGAATTCATCAAGCATAGCAGCATTTAGAAATATCATGGGGTTATGACACAAAATTCTCAGTACAACAGTGACGGCTGTCAGCAGAAGCCTCAAAATACACACTCAGTTTGTTGAGACTGCAGCCTTTTTTGGGCATATTTCCAGAACTGAGCATGTACAATGAAAACAGCTAGTCAGCCAGCAAAGGTTTGCAAAGTCACAGTGTAGAGACTGACTGTAAAAAAATTTGAAGGCAGACTTTGTGAAAGACAAACCAAAATGTTTGGAAAAATTATAATGGATACTGAGAAAAGCCATTACATATCACAGTTCGTATGCACCTATATGGACAAGATCACGGTATCTCCCAGCTGACCCTTGTGCCACAACTCTGCAGTAACCTCAGTGTTTGATAAGAGATATCAAGGACAAAACATCAAGGAAAGCTCCTTAAAAGCCAGATGAAACCCTTACCCTAAAGCTGCAAGAACCATTGAAATAATTGCTAGCTCCTTAACCTTTCAAGAAAAAACAGCTGAATGGTACAAAATGAAGGATTAAAATGGGGCGTGAGGGAGGGAGAGAAAGCTGGAAAGAGAAGGAAGCCTTTATTTTGCAACCTGGTCTCTTCATCAGAATTACTTCAGGATAATCAAGCAGATGCAGATGTTTCCTGGAAGGTAATGCTTGAGTGGTGAAGATAAAATGCAATGGCTGGATTATACTTGCTTGCAAATTTGACAGGTTACATTATCTTTTATTGACATCTGAACAGAACTGCCAGACTCTGGAGGCTTTATTTTTGAATCAGGCTCTTTTTTTATGACATCTGCCATCTTTAAAAATTAAACTTTTTGTGGTGGAATTTTTAACAGATTATCTCAAACAGTCTTGACTGCTTCTCAGTAAATTGTGTGGTATGTGATGTGTTGCAGACTTTAACCTGCATTTTTTTCTCCTTTTTTTTTCCTGCAAAATCATTCAAAATAATTTATGTAATTCACTTGGTGTTACAATCTAACTTTGATCTGTGGAGACAATACCAAGCCAAAATAGAAAAAGATGGATTATAGTTCCTATATTAATAGGCTTGCACCAAAAAAAAAAAAACCTTTATGAAA